GTTGCTATCGTCCATAAGAAATACATGGCCCTATCCCCGCAATGTTATTTTCTAAACGTGGAACGTAGTTTATTACAAAAATGCCGTGACCAAAGAAAAGATGTATTTGCATTTTTCGTGGACTTTCGTGGAAAAGACATTCGATAAAATACAGCATGTAAAATTAATGCAAATACTGAAAAATATCGGAATAGATGACAAAGATATTCGTTTCATTAAAAATTTGTACTGGAATCAACCTGCTATCGTAAAAATACACCGATGAAATCTCCATACAAACAGGAGTCAGACAAGGTTGCATTTTGTCGCCAATATTGTTCAATGTTTACTGGGGCTAGATATTTAAAAAGACACTTGAGGTTGTCTCTCAAGTGGAATAAAAATCAACGGGGAACTACTTAATATGATTAGGCATGCAGACGAAACAGTAATTCTGTCAGATAATATAGAAGGTCTCCAAATTCTGCTCAATCTTATTCACGAGGTAGGAGAGGAAATGGGCATTAAAATAAACTCAAACAAAACCAAATTTTTGGTGTTTAGTCGTGACCCTCATCCCGATGCAAAGCTTCAATTAAACAGAGTCCAAGTTGAGAAAGTTCACAAAATGACATATTTGGGAACTGTGATAACGGACCAACTAGATCCAGACAGAAATAAAACGTAGAATAGCAATGAATAAAACTACTTTTATGAAAATGGAAGTCATTTCTTTGCAATAATGATCTCAGTTTAAAACTAAGACAAACAATGGTTAAGTGCTATGTTTGGTGCGTACTTTTGTATAGTGCAGACATGTGGACGCTAAAGGTATCAATCATGAACAAAATTAAAGCATTGGAAATGTGTGTTCATAGACGAATGCTGAAGATACCTTGGATAGCAAGGAAAACTAAAGAACAAGTACTAAGGAGCGTCAACAAAGATAGAGAACTGCTAAAGACTTTTAAACATCGAAAAATATCTTATCTTGGACATATAGTAAGGGGAATTCGATATAAAATATTACAACTGATCCTTAAAGGCAAAATAGAGGGCCGTAGAGGTGTAGGAAGAAAACAAGTTTCTTGGTTAAAAAACATTCGTGAATGGACTCAGATATCAAATGCAGGACAATTGCTAAGCGTGGGAACATGCTTAAGTATTTAATGTCACACACAAAGTTTTATCGTTAATATGTACAACATGTAAATGTTTTGTTTATATTTGTGTATGGTAAATTTTTCGTACTTGCATCATTCCGAGATATTTATATATAACATTTTCACCCATGACCTCGATGTTTTGGCCATTTTGCATATCTAATCCTCCGGTTTGAACGTTACCTATAAACGGTTCCAGATTTAGCCATTCGGCGTATACTCTCTCTAAGGATGAAATTAACTCATCCCAGATACCTGCGGTATCAAAAGGATTTACTGATGGGACTCTTTCCGTGTTATCGAACCCTAGGTGACTTGGTATGCTGGAGTATCTCCCAAAAATTTTCTTACACATCTGGACTTTGCGAGGAATACAGCTTTGTGCATGGCCTTATAGAGATATTTATTTAGACCCACCTGTTTTATGTTCTCTAGAAGGTTTTTGGGAATAACACCTGTAGTATATGTAAATTCAAAGAGTATACAAGGTGGTCCAGAATTATGTACATTAATTTCTAGAGCTCATAGTACGTCCAAAAATAAGGGTACTTCTTTAAGTACACTTTTTTATAAAACTGAATAATAAGGGAGATACAACCCTTTAAATGGGTGAATTGAAATTCTTATTTTTTCAAATATCTTCCAAACGGTTTTGAATACGGAGTTCATATTTTGGGAGTGATATAAGACATTAGGATAATTAATTTAGTGTTACCACCTACCACATCTCATATTAATATAGGGTAGTTTTGGAGGGTAAGCGGGGGTTACTGCGTCACATGTTTTTTAATTTTTACATATCTTAAAAAAATATTTTAAAAATTGTTTCCTTAGACTTTTCTACGCAAAAAAGGTGCTCTTGTAATATTTCGATAGATATTAACGTTTTCGATTTATTTAAACTCGAAGGTATACATGTATTTCATTCTAATCATTACATTTCTTAATATTCATCAAGTATGCTTTGGAATTGACACTTGTGTTAGCAATAATATTACAAATAAATGGAAAACTTAATTAATACTTAACATTTAATTAATGGCGAAAATAATATTTCACAACAACTGTTCAAAATGTCCTCCATTTTGTTGAATACATAATCTAATTCTTTTATTTAGCGAACGTATTAATCCATTTAATGTTACTGGATCGTTTTGTAAATCGATAAAGACTTGTTCAATTTTGTCTCTTAACTCATTTACTATATTAATTGTAGTGTTATACACTTTTGATTTCAAATAACTCCATACTGTAAAGTCCATTGGATTAAGATCACAACTACGAGCAGGTCAATGAATCGGTGCATCCGCACCCCGGCCTATCCACCTATCAGGGAATTGTTCATGTAACCACCTTCTACAAATTCTTGTGTAATGTGGTGTAGCACCATCATGCATGAAAAACATGTTTCTTCGTATTTGTAAAGGAATATCTTCCAAAAATCATGTAAAATATTGTCTAGAAAATTGTAATACATGTTACCATTTAAATTTCCGGGAAAGATGTGGTATCCTATGAAACTATTTCCTAAAGTAACTGCCCAAACGTTTATCTTGAACGTGTGTTGGAAGTGAGTTTCCATTGTAGCCCTTAGATTTTCTTCAGCCCAGAAGTGCATATTTCTAGAATTGAACATACCTTGTCTTGTAAATGTGGCCTCGTCTGTAAACAGAATGTTTTCCTGGCATTGGGAATATTTCTTTTCGGATACTTTTCTCTGTAGCGTCTACAGCGGCAGCAGCATTCCCCGAACATTCGTGAACAAGAGACGTGTTAAACAAATTTCACTGTGGAGTACAATAAAAGTGTAGATAAAATAATTTAATTGTTATTAAACGTCACTGACAATTCATAGACTACTTGAGATTAAAGTGTTGTTGCTAACACAAGTGTCAATTCCAAAGCATACTTGATGAATATTAAGAAATGTAACGATTACAATAAAATACATGTATACCTTCGAGTTTAAATAAATCGAAAACGGTGATATCTATCGAAATATTACAAGAGCACCTTTTTTGCGTAGAAAAGTCTAAGGAAACAATTTTTTAAATAAAGATATGTAAAAATTAAAAACATGTGACACAGTAACCCCCGCTTACCCTCCAAAACTACCCTGTATTAATATGAGATGTGGTAGGTGGTAACACGAAATTAAGTATCCTAATGTCTTATAATCACTCCCAAAATATGAACTCCGTATTCAAAACCGTTTGGAAGATATTTGAAAAAATAAGAATTTCAATTCACCCCTTTAAAGAGTTGTATCTCCCTTATTATTCAGTTTTTTAAAAAAGTGTACATAAAGAAGTACCCTTATTTTTCGACGTACTATGAGCTCTAGAAAGTAATGTACATAATTCTGGACCACCTTGTATATTCCAAAAAAAGAAATACTATCAAGAATCAAACAAGCAAGGAAAACATTCATGAGGATGGAAACATTTTTTACAAGATAAGACCTTAGTCTGCAGCTTAGAATCCAAATGATTAGATGTTACGTTTTTTCTGTCTTACTGTATGGCTGTGAAAGTTGGACAAATATGCCTTTAAGATGTATATATACAGACGAATGTTAAGTATTCCATGGGTACAAAGAGCTACTAATGTAGAGGTACTTCGTCGAATGTGTAAACAAAAAGAATTACTAAGAATAATCAAAGAGAGGAAAATGCAATATACTTGGGTCATGTGTTGAGAGGCGAAAGATATAAATTACTTCAAGTTATACTGAAAGGAAAAGTATATGGCTGAAAGACCCGAGGAAATGGTTTCGACCGCTCATCCGCAGAAATCTTTCGCGCAGCAGTTTCCAAAACTACAATTGCCATTTGGATCGCCAACCTTTGAAAGGAGACGGCGCCATGAACACGCCGTGCCATTCATTGAACACGCAAATTATTGGTGTTAGGTATCGCCACATCAATAAGTGTTGTTTGCCTAGTAAGTTTACTAACTAGTATGAGATATGGTCCATTATATGCCACTGGTTGCCCTGTGAGCACAGTGCGGTCCCAATATAGCTTATAGTTATCATTTTCAAGCATTTGTTCAGGGACGTACTGATAATAAGGAAGATGGTCGGTTTGCTGCATGATTAATGGCTTCTGTTACGATGTTCCACAATATTTAACAATATTTAATTAGAGAAAAAATACAAAATCGGGGATAAACGAAGGAAAGAACTGTTGGCGAAAGTGCTTATCTTCTTTCTACGTGGTTGTTTGTGGAATACTTCTTCTGAAACATCTAGAGAATATTTTTTTCTACTTTTTATTATAAATTAAGGGGTGCTTTGGGATAACGATGAGTTATATATAGGCTACGGGAAAGTCCGGAGAGTTTAAAGAGTCCAGAACATGGAAGATAATGCAGTTTTCTAAAAGGAATGGTAACTTAAGCTATTTCAGTGGTCGTTGTGAGTGTAATAAGTTTTGAGAAAATTTATAAACTAGTATTTTTGAATGTATTAATTATAAAAAACGAAACGTGCCACTTTGGGAGTGACCGAGGAGGGGAAGCATAGCTTTCTTGTCGTCTACGCACAGAGCAATGGTTAATATTAGTTTATTTTATTTTATTAAGAAGCTGGGGCTTCGTTTACTACCACGTAGTTTGGTAGCGCGATCATTACAATCGTTTTATCTCGTTTCATTCTTAATTTCAGTTTTTTTCAGTACTCATGTTTTATTTTATCATACCTCTGCTGGATTCACCGCACCGTCTGTACCCCGCGATAAGAGACCTATGCTTCCAAAAAACTTTTCAAAATAAACAAGAATGTGACAGCTTTTTTCCAAATATACTACTTTAAAGGCAACTTACAATTGTATGTATTGTATTATTTTCTTTGTTTAGGTCGCTTCACGGAGGACGGGTCCTTCATTGGGCAGTACGTGCCCAGTAACATGAAGCAGCTAGGTCTTTCTTCGACCGTGCAGGGAACAAATAATAACGCAATGGGCACTTATGTCTAGATAAAATCGTGGATGTGGAAATAGCTTTATATGTTGTATCTCATCAAGAACTCTCTCTTATTATAAATTATGAAATTAATGCCATTAGAATGTGTTCTTTTTGCCACGACCGTGATTTTTTTAAATTGATTTCGTCCATATCAGTAAGTTCTAATCATAATCAAAATAACTGAATTATTTGTATAATGTATTAGTGTAAGGGTTTTTGTTGATTAATATTGATTTATTGAAGACTTTTTGGTGTTGCGTACTACCCTTTTATATATTTTGTATATTGCTCAGCTCTCTGTGGCAACCACAATGTACTCAATTGAATCTCATTGTATTGGTGCAAATTTTCTCTAATACTCGAAAATGTGTTGATCTTTTCAAATTCTTTATCACAAACTTTACTCCAGATGCAACTTACCAAACATAAACTAAATACAATCCATTTAGTTTAATTATAACAAAAAACAGTACAGAGTGAAGTTTGATGGTTATTGCTTTTCAAAAGTTATTACCGATAAAAGTGTTATTAAAAAGAAGTAATTCTTTTTTATAATTTACTGACACTGCCTTATTTATCAAATTTATTTAAAGTTAAATGTTTTCGAAATTTTATTCATTGACTAGATAATTTTTTATCATAAATTAGCATCACATTAACACAGTACGCCAACCTATTCAGAATCGAAACTCAAGCTTAGTATTTCATCTGCCAAATAAGAATTTTTACCTTGACAGATATAATATTTATAGCTGCACACGCATACATGCTCGACAACCACCAATAAGGTTATTCGTTCTGTATTGTGTTGTTATCTGTGTTGTTAAATCATGTAGATGCATATTTAACCCTAAAGAAATTCATTCCGAGGTATTTCGTACCAGGTATTTATTTATCCTCATGAAAACATTCCAATATTTCTTTGTATTATAATCGCCCCGTGACTTATAATTTCCGAATGGCGGTAATGTTTAGATCAAAATATATTTATTTTCTTAACCACTACGACAGTTGTACAGGTACGAAATGCACGAATATTGACCGGTCTTTATGTTAACATTAATTCCGTTAGCAGGGTATATCAAATAAACAGTTTATTAAAATGACAGTTTGACACACCATAGCTTGTCTTGTTTTTGTTTTTCAAATTCTAGTAGAAAGGTCATGGCCAAGCAACCCAATCCTGTGGCTATTTCAGTATATACTAATGGTTATGATGAAATTTACAAAAGGTGCAACGAATTCGTACATATTTGAATATTTTAATTTAATTCAATTATAGTTAAATTTGTTTTTAATTTTGTAATGACAAATTAGTTTGCGGACTTATACCTTGATACGGAGTGTTTCATCCTAACATTCCGCCTGCTGCTTCGACACTTGACAAAAGACATTGTCAAAGATGATGCAGGAACGATCGGAGTGTTCTTTTGGGCTACTCTTGTTGAGTAAACCTGCTTCTGGAGACAATTTGTGAAGATGAGAGTCCAGAGGTGGACACAATCAAATTCGACGCAGATCAATTTAAGTTTGTTATTATAATTTTATAGTTTTTATAATATTGATCTTAGATCTGATTAACCATTGAGAGTGAGATATAAATGAAATTGCTGGAAAGAGTAGCCTGGTCATTGCCAATATAAACCAACTTAATTTATAAGTACCTTTTAATTTGTAATGATTTAGTACAGGATAATATTTCATAAAATAAAAATCTACTCTTCCAAACTTTCTTATTGGAAGTAAGCTAAATGCTTCCTAGATATTGTTTACTGTTATTTTCTGACATATTATCGTAATTGTACACTGCTACTTTTGAACAGGGTTTTTGATTTTTATCAGGCTGATCTGGCATTTGTTAAGAACATGTTGTCTTATACAGGATATGACTGGTATCGGACATTATAGAGCTACATTTGGCTTCCAAATTGTGTATCATCTCTTCGTAATTTCTTGGCTATCGTATTGTATTTATCATATATATAGTCTTGAAACCAAGTATAAGAACAGCTTTAGTTTCTGTGTAATAAAAGATAATGATTTGGCAAAAGTCCGATTGGTATTTATTGAAGATCCTGTACATATATAAATATAACGTGTGTTGTATGTCTGCGAGCGTGAGTGAGTTTAGAAAGTTAATAAAAGATTCAGGATTTCTGACTATTTTGCTAAAGTATTACAAAGAATTTTGCAGCCACACTCTATAGACTGATCTAGCTCTGTATGTCGTATTCGATCAATAAGGCCACTACGACTGGATTTATAAAAATTAATATCAAATTTATTTACATCACAGTTTGAATAGTCTTCAAACGTTAGTCTTATTCCAGGACATATATGTGCTGACTCCAAATCACATCATGTAACTTTTAAAGATGATTCAAAAAGGTGTCGTCGGAAGTTTAAACTGAGAGAGCTAAATAAGTTTGATATTAGTTGTTATAATAATGTTGACCTTATTTAACCGTTTCTTTTTATTTTTGGAACCGCGAAAGCTTTTCCGAACATATAACTAATAGCAAGCATCGAATATGAGTATAATAATGAATATATACTCTTGTTGAATAATAATTATACTGATGATGCTTGGACGAGATTTAGACAATAAAAATAGAGTAGAAGTGTGGATGATTCCTTAATCATATGTTTTCGATCTTGATGCTCTACTAACAAGTGATCTCGAACTAAAACCTTGTCAAATATGCTAGTCGTATATTCTTCAAATTTCGTATTTATCGACTTTAGGGGCTAGATATGATTATAGATCTATTGAAGGTACAGAGCGCAATTAAAAACACTTAGTTTAAACAAATTCGATGCCTACTTCCCTTTAATTTAACTTTCACCAAAAGTCAATTAAAAAGTTTGTAAGGTATGGTTGTGAAAATCCATTTTATATACGAAATAGATGTCCCGTCGAATTGTTTTGAACTAAGACAACTTACACCTCTTGTATCACTGTATGAAGATAATTTAAGCTATCCAGTACTTATTTAAAAAAGTTCTTAGCTTCGACGTCATGGAGGCTGCTAATTACAAAAGCAATAACATATAATCAAAATGTGAACTTCTCAAACAGTAGATAGAAATTTTATTCAGCATAAGAGACACAATCTTTTTTTTTATGTATATAATGTGTTCATGTCATCATTATAAAGACTTATCATAATTAGTTGGAGAATGAATGGAGTCAAGTTGTTCATCTGCTTGATAAAAACAACATTTACTCTTCTTGCTGTAATCATGAACGTTCATTGTTAATCAATTTCCAACAGTTGTTTCGTGTCAAATTTATTGCATAAATAAGAGTCAGTGGGCAGTGATGCAATTGGGATGTTATTGTGCTAAATATTTAAATCACATAGCGAATGGATAGAATCACAGACAGGCGGTGCTAATATTATTGTGGTTGAGTTTATAAGCATATTTATTGCTTGTTATGTTTAAAGAAGCTTTCGTAAAAATTGATTTGATTTAGAGCAAAACCTTTCTGATCTTTTCCAAAACTGTTTTAGACTGCTTTTCTTATGTGTGAAGTATGAGAAAATATTTTGTAAGCACTAAATTGCAGGACTCTATTGCTTTGCACTGTTGTTGGTTAGGTAATATATTTTGATATATTTATAATTATTATATATTATTATAACTGCGTTACTAGTTATTTGCGAAAATTAATTATATTTTTTGTACAAATAAGGTTACGATAACTGTATCAAGCAGCTGAAAGTTGTATGTATGTATATATAGCGTGTCTCCAAAGGTCACAAGCAGGCACTTGGTCGATTTGACCTGAAAAAATGGTCTATTCTAATAGCACAGTTAGAGACGCCCTCCCTCAAGAAGACGGCTCTAACAATATCTGTCAACAAGTACATATGTCAAATGGACGCAATTCATGTAATTCTATACGTTTCACGAATTCACGGTAATATTAATATTCACGTTCCTTACAAATGAATTTTACTTCGATATGTATTTATAAGAACTTTCCATGGAACTATAGTAAATACATAGAGAAACCTGGACATGGCAGATTTCATAATCAAAAGATTTGAAGTACTACGAACTTATGTCGTCTAAGAAGAAAAATAATAGCTTCTCTATTATAAAAAGAAGTGCCCTTGCCTGATAGCTTACCAGAAACATTAAACATTCTTAATAAAAGCAAAATAGCGGGCATTTAAAAAAATGGCCTTTTTTCGGTCAAAAAAATTTTATTTTATTTTTTTTTGTCAAATTATGGTAAACTATTGTAGAGAAACCCAAAAGAAACAAAATCCATTAAGGTTTATTAAAATCGATCGATTGGATCCGGAGATTAAGATTTTGAGAAAATCTGCGTTTTTAAAAGTGGCGGACAATTAATCTCCTGATCTAGTCAGTCAATTTTATTAAACCTTGATGGCTTTTGTTTGTTTTCTTTTTCTCTATGTAATTTTACCAAAATTTGACCAAAAAAATAATCCTTCGATCCAAGAGGTCTATTGTGCCTCATCTCTAAATTATATATAGTTGTCCTTTCAGCCCAATCGTTTTAACAAAGTCTGCTATTTTGGCTTTAGGTGACAGACGACGAAGTCGTAAGGCTATTGAGGTTCAGTCTGGAAGAAATAAAAGGAAAATTCAAAAAGAGACTTGTGAGAAACACAATTTTTTTATTTTTTTTTTAATGCCGATACCTTTTTACATTGTTTTTATATAGACCATGTCGTTAATTTGTAAGTAATAATTTTACACCGTTTTATATATTTTACATTTACTGTAAAAGTATAAAATTACGTTGTTTTGTGTCATTTTGATATGTCATTTGTGACAGACACTTCTAGGGCCGCCATTTACAAATATAAAAAAATCTACCAGCCGGACGAATTCAATTCATGTATTTATTATCTATCATTTCACTTTGTATTATGTACCATCAAAAATATTTATTTTAATCGACTATATAGTATATTTATTTGGATGTACTATACTACATTCAAAACCAAGATAAGCTCGAGTTCACACCCATCGATAGTTGTGTCATGACGTCGCAGCTTTTCATTGGTTAGCAAGTAATTTCTAACCAATGACATGTTGAGAAGTCATGATACGCCCACCGATGGGTGTGAACTCG